ATCATAACTAATATTATAGTTGTTATTTATGTTGTAATGTTAAAAATGATGGAAAACTAATAGCAGATTTTGTGATGGTGACAACGAAGATATGATGAGAATTAAATTATTACAATGATGATGATGAGGATGATAGTGATACAGAAAACGAAACTGATAATGATAGCGATAATAATGATGATAATAATAGCGATAATGACAATGATAATGATAGCGATAGTGATGATGATAATGATAATGATAATGATAGCGATAATGATGATAATGTTGATAATGATAATGACGATAATTTAATGACGCGATAATGATGATGATAATTATAGTGTTGACGAATATGGTGATGATTATAGTGGTGTCATGATGATGATTTTCGTAGTTATAATGAACAAACTGTAATAATGATAATAGTAATATTAATAGCAATAATGATGATGATAAGAATAAGAAAAGGAATAAAACGATTATAAGAATGATGATAATGATGATGATAATACCAAAAACAATAACAATAGTGATGTTTACGATGATGCTGATGATAATAACAATAATAATAATGATAATAATTATTGCAATATTAGTAATAAAAACAATAATAATGACAAATATGACGAAGCTGTGGAGGATAATGACAGTGACAATAATAATAACAATAGCAGTAATGATGATAATGATAAGAATGACAATAATGATAATAATAATAATGACAATAATAATAGTAGTAGTAATAATAAAGTAATAATAATAATATTGATTATAATGATGATAATGAAAATTATAATGATAATGATGATCAAAAATTATAATGATAATGATAATAACAATATTGATCATAGCAATGTTTGTGATAATGAAAATATTTAAGATAATATAAATATCAACAATGACATTAATGATAATTATGATAACAATTATCACTGTACCATCACCATCATCACCATGATAATGATGAAATACTAACTTTATTACCATTATTGTTATTATATGTGTTGCTACATCTACTAAAATGGTTATTATGATAAATGGGATTATTATAGAAGGGTTTTTACCAAAATAATGATGTTGATAATGATAATTTACAGTAATAATAGTGAAACTGGCATCTGTAATAGTTCTAATGATAACGAGGATAATCATAATTGTCATAACTACTATTTGTTCTACAACTAATGCTATTAGTAGGAGGCGCTGTCTTATTTTGGTTGCGTGTGTAATATGATGGTGAGTGATGTGTGTGTGTGTGTTTGTGTTTGTGTGAAGGGTATGTGTTTGTGTGTGTGTGTTTGTGTTACTACTATTACTGCTGCTGCTATTATTTCTGCTGATATCACTACTACTACTATCACTATTATCATTATCATTAATAAAATACTACTACCTCTACTATTACTAATACTGCTTGTATTACCACTACTACTATTAGTACTTTAATTACTATTGCTATCAGTACAAGTAATGTTACTAGTATTACTACTAATACTACTAAAATTATTACTACTGCTTATGCTACTAGTATTACTTCTACTTACGATATTGATGATGATAATAATCCTTTAATCACTACAAATTATAGTCTTTTAGTCATTTATATTGGCAGTGTGTGTGTGTGTGAGTGAGTGAGTGTGTGTGTATGTGTATGTATGTGTGTGTGTGTGTGTGTGTGTGTGTGTGTGTGTGTGTGTGTGTGTGTGTGTGAGTGAGTGTGTGTGTTTGTGTGTGTGTGTGTGTGTGTGCGTGAGTGTGTGTGTATGTGTGTGTGTGTGTGTGTGTGTGTGTGTGTGTGTGTGTGTGCATATTATCACTGATTCTGTCATTATCATCTTACTTAATTTTCATCATAACACCTTGTATTGATACCATATTTATTATTGAATTTACGTATTTATATATCAATTCATCTATCTGTCTACCTATTTATCTATTAATTTGTGTATCTTGATCTATCTATCAACCAGTTCACCTTCCTATCTACTCCCGTTATTATCACTCCTTCTACTCCATATATCACTCTAATAATATTAATACTTCAATACACCTAATTTAATTTATCACTCTAATAATATTAATACTTTAATTCTCCTTTATCACTCCTTTTACTATAAACCATTTTGCTTCATCCATTCACGTAAAAATGCAAGAGGACCTCCCCCCTCCCCTCCCCCCCCCCCACTCACTCCAATCATATCCATCCCACATGAACTAAGTACTAATGACACTTCGTTAATCCCTCTAAGAACATGTTGCGGATTCTGACACGCTCTAAATCACGGGGTTCTCTGCCTGACCTTGTCACCTGTGCAAATACCTGTCATTTTCTTGGGCAAAGTTGTTGACACTTTCTTTTGGTTCAATTAGGTGTACTGTCACGGTAAGAGGCGCTGTGTTATGTTGGTGTTGTGTGTGATATTATGGGGAGTGATGTGTGTGTGTGTGTGTGTGTGTGTGTGTGTGTGTGTGTTTGTGTGTGTGTGTGTTGTGTGTGTGGTGTGTGTGTTGTGTGTGTGTGATGTGTGTATGTGTGTGTGTGTGTGTGTGTTTGTGTGTGTGTGTGTGCGTGTGTGTCTGTATGTGTGTGTGCATACATGCATATATGCATGTATTACCACACTCATACGCACATATAACTCCATATACATAAAAAAGAGAGAGAGAGAGAGAGAGAGAGAGAGAGAGAGAGAGAGAGGAGAGAGAGAGAGAGAGAGAGAGAGAGAGAGAGAGAGAGAGAGAGAGAGAGAGAGAGAGAGAGAGAGAGAGAGAGAGAGAAAGAGAAGAGAGAGAGAGAGAGAGCGGCAGAACCAGCCAAAAGAAAAACTAAACAAACAAATAAATAAACCGGATGATAAAACTAACATCCCACGACACATGCTAATCCAAGAGATGATATTCGTTCATCCATTAGAATCAGGATTGTGTGTGTGTGTTTGTTTGTGTTTGGTGTGTGTTTTGTTTGTGTTGTGTTTGTTTGTTTGTGTGTTTGTGTGTGTGTTGTTTGTGGTGTGTGTGTTTGTTTGTGTGTTTGTGTTGTTTTGTGTGTGTGTGTGTGTGTGTGTTTGTGTGTGTGTGTTTGTGTGTGTGTGTGTGTGCTTGTGTGTGTGTCATCGCCTCTCCAGCTGTGACAGATGGTTTATATGAGGGCGTCCCAACCGGGGGTGCTCGCTTCCCTTGGGGCGTGAGAAAGTACCCCAAGGATGCGAGAAGCGTCCATCTTGGGGAAACAGGAAGATGATAAATAATAATAAACAAATAAAAAAAAATTAAACAGGAAGAAAAGAGCCATTAAATTGAAACTTCATTATATAAACGTTTTCGAGTAAGTTCTTTGGTTATTAATGTAGA